ATAGGAAGGTCCCCGGATGCTTCTTTGGATCTGGGTTTAACTGAGGGACGCAGGCTCTGAAAGTCTTGGTACATTCAAGGTCACGACTTGCCCAGTTACTTCCACATCTGGCTCCCAGATTCATGCTTTTCTGGCTGTCACTGGAGTAAATCAAGCCCCCAAGGGGAAAAGATAAAAGCAATGCTTGGTCCAACTGTAATGAAAATAGTAGTAAACATGACAGCTAACATTTATAAGGTGTGCAGTGTGAACAGGTGCTTACCCTCTTGGGAGCCTTAGGAGGAAAGCACCCCTTCACAGCCAGGACGTGGAGGCACAGAGAGTTTAAATGTGTTGCCCGGAATTCTACCACTGAATCTGGAGGTTGGCATCTGTGCCCCAAACCTTGCCCTGTGCTGCACAAGTGGGCAGGAAGAGAGCAGCATTCCTGGGATTGGATTGTTACCTCTGGATACAAGTCCCCGTTCTGCCACCCACTAGCCTAGAGAGCAGGATATTTCATCAGTGGGGGTGGGGGAGAGCCCAGGATGGCAGAGCAAGAGCTAAGGGAGACAGCACTCTGCAGCCTTGACCCTGGGCGGTACAGTGGCTCCCTGGATCCTGACCCCAAGGACATGGAACAATTAGAGAAAACATTTAAATCCAAAGAAAACATTTCCAGGTGAACAGAGGCTTCTCCATGTATCCCCAAGAGACAGCTCAGACCCACCTGCAAGGTGTTGGTGCCTGTGCAGGAGTAGAAAGTGGGAGAGTAGAGAACCCAAAACAACCCAAGGGCACCCTGAAAGAGCTGGGGCCGGTTCAGGAGCAGCCACTGAACTGAGAAGTATCCTGCTCCTTCCAGGGGACAGAGATGCAAGAGCCTGTGTAGGGGCCGAGGGGGCTGGAGCAGCGTCACCCTTGGAAACTTAGACACAGAACTGCCAGGGCTTCCCGTAAGGTCAGGATCCTACTCTAGGGAGAGCTGCCGGAAACAGTAGAAGGTTGAGCAGGGAAGAAACAGCAGACGCTGTAGAAGAGCACAGCCCCAGAAACAGTAGAGAGATACCAGAAAGTGAGCTAGCAAATGCAGCAGACTGGAGAGCTCTGTCAGGTCAGGATGACCACTTTAAAATTCCAGGGAAGCTAAGTGCCCACAGAGACGATTGACCTAAAAGCATCACGGTCAAGTTTATTAGTTTCTGTAGCAAAGTCCCATGAAGTGGTTGGCTTAACAATAATAGAAACCCACTGTTTCACAGTGCTAGAAGCCAGCAGTCCAAAATCAAAGTGTCAGTAGGGCTCTGCTCCCTCAAGCCTGTCAGAGAACCCCTTCCTGTCGGGGAACCCCCTTCCTGTAGGTGGATACCCCGGGCATTCTGTGGCTTCAGTGGTGCCACTCCCATCCCTGCCTCTGTCAACACATGGCAGCTCCCTCATGTGTCCTTCCCTCCACGTGGCCATCTTCTGATGGGGCACCCACCGTACTGGATTAGGGGCCCACCCTGCTCCAGTGTGAGCCTCTCTTAACTAATCCGATCTGCAATGACCCTACTTCTAAGTATGTTCCTATTCAGAGGCCTAGGGGGCAGCAACTGTGCCATACCTTTTTTGAAAGGACACAATTCAGTCCCTGGCACTAGTACAAAGTGCATTGATATCCTAACCCCAGCCCCTCTGAATATGACTGTGTGCAAAGATCAGGCCTTAGAAGAAGAAAGTAGGGTTAAAAAATGAGGTCCTCAGAGTGGGCCCTAATCCAGCTTGACTGCAGACTTTATCTGAAAGAGGACTCTGGGGAAACACATGAAAAGGCAGACAGAGGGGCAAGAGAGGTGAGCCAAGCAGAGGCCTGGAGAAACCAACCCTCCCAGCACCATGATCTTGGACTCCCAGTCTCCAGAACCGTTAGACAGCCCATGTGTTATTTAAGCACAGCCCAGATTGTGCTGTTCTAACAATGCTAGCAAACCATGCATAGAACTATTATAAGAAAAAAAGAATAAGGGCCACAACAGTATCCCTCTGGATAATGAAAGCACATCTGAAAGACACACTCACAGACAGATCAGTACTCTACTGTCTATCTGGAAACAACCACAAATGTTAAGAAAGTGGTCCAGACATGGAAGAAAATGTAAGTTAGGATTAGGAAAAACTGAGACATGCGATAATGGACTCAAACCATTTCAGAAGCAAAGTGTAAACTAGAAGGATGCAAAAAGTTGATAAATGCTTAAGAGAAACAGAAGCTGCAAGGAACAATTTTTAAAATTAAAGTAGGAATAACAAAAGAGATGAAAGGCTTGAAGAAAAAAATGACAACTATTCAAGATAGGCAAAGCAGACCCAACGTATAGATAATAGGGCATCTCTGAAGAAGAAACTCGAAACACGGGGTGGAGGAAAGGGGGACAGGGACTATAAATGACAACTCAAGAAGACTTCCTAATCACTTAAAAAAAGGTTGGAAATTCCAAATTGTGAGAATATACCACATGCCTGAGAACATGTTAGCCCACGACCAACGCCAAGACATTCCTGTAAATTATTGGATTTTAAAGAAAAGGGGGAAATTATGGACATCGAGACCAAAAAAATAGGGGGTGACTTCAAGGGAAAAAAATATTGTCATCAGACTTTCTGACTATACTTTTGCCGAAAGAATGATAAAACCTACAATACTCAAAAAAAGAAATTTACCCCAATGATTTTATACCCAGCAAAACTGACTTTTACGTAGAAAAGAGCACAGTGATTATGAACACGCAGGCACTGACCATCGAGTTTCTTGTGGAACTGCAACTAAGTGACAGCAATAAGGGAGATGTGGTGTGAATTACCAGCTAGCTCAGATGATGGAGATATAGCACTATGCGAAAAGTATCAAAGAAATCATTTTTAGTAATCATGTTCGTAAAGGTAATTTTATTTTATTTTTGGTTCGTTTGTTTGTTTGTTTTGAGACAGAATCTCGCTATGTAGTTCAAGCAGGACTTGAGCTCACTGTGTAGCCCCAGCTGGCCTCAAGCGCACAGTGATCCTCCTGCCTCAGCCTCCTGAGTGCTGGGATGACAGGCCTATACCACCGTGCCTTGCTGGTGATGGTGATTTTAGTGTTGTTATGAGACTATGTGCGTGAAATGAGTAATTATTAGGTGTTCTACCAGCCCCTTGTCCTGGAGAGCCAGGATTTCGACATGGAACAAAGGTGATTTCTTTGTACTATGGAAAAGATAAAGTAAAAAGCATGGCGTCCTTGTTTAAATTGGAAATATCGGCATGAACGCATAATATATTTTATTTTCAAAATGTCTACTGAAGAGGCCTAGGAACAAGACTTTCTAGTGCTCAGCTTCACTTGTATCCAGATGGTGATCTTAAAATATCATTTAAAAAAAAAACCCACAAACACAGAGAAATTAAATCTAGGACTTTTGGGAGAATTGAGCGATTCCAATTATAGGGCAGTAAAGGTCTAAGAGGAAGACGAACATCTTGTCCATCAAATAGCCCAAATGTATGAAGGACAGTGAGCCCCAGAATGAACTGCATTTTCTCTCTGGCCAAAAAAATGAAAAAAACAAAAACAAAACCCTGAGTTTCAACAATAACAACAATGGATGAAACCTCCTCAAATTAAGCTATGAACTCATACTGATATATTTTAAAAGATCATTTGGAAGCTGGGTATGATGGTGCCCACACCTGTAACTGTAGCACTCTGGAGGCTGAGACAGGAAGATTGCCATGAATTTGAAGCCATCTTGGGCTCCACAGTGAGTTCAAGGCCCGCTGGACAACACAGCAAGACCCTGTCTCCAAACAAACAGTCATTTGAAGAGAACAATGAAACTTAGGTAGCTCATTTCCCTAAAAACTGGTAAATGCAATGAGGGTACGTCCTGGTAACCACACAGCAGGAGCGCGTGAAGGGAGGCGTCTTTTACGGAAACATCCCAACCTGGGAATGTGAAAACTAGGGACCATCAGCATTTCGCAATCCCCAGTGAGTTAGTGCAGGCATCACAGAAAGACGCCAGGCACTGGGTCCCGGGGGAAGATGCAACCCACCATCTTCCCAAAGGGTCAAGGCCTGTGTCCAACCCATCAGCCAGCGTGCAGGAATCAGAGACCAGAGGAACAGCCCAAGCCACACCACAGGGATGCAGCAGCCACATCCAGACCATGGGAGATGCCACAGCTCCTAGGAGCTGGGTGCTTCAGCAGATACACTGGTGGCTGGGGTGGAGATGCACATGTGTGACAAAGCTGTAAAGAAACCAGGCAGGGCCTGCCGTGGTCTCACACTCGGGATCATGGTGCGGTGGAGGAGGGTTGGTCACTGGTCTGGCAGCCTCAGCTGGCTCACAAAGCCTCTTTCTCAACATGGGTGGTGATTAGAAAGAGCCTCACCTTAGGATAACTCCTTGAACTAGACCTCGTTTTTGTTGCTTTGGCATCTGTTTTACGATAAAGAGAGCACAGCGCTGGAATCCAGGCCTGGAATAGACATCAGCCTCTCCTCTCACCGCCCCTGCCTCGTCTCACAGGGCTGTGGACTTGGCTGTCTGAGTGCCAGGTGATGAGCTTGGCACTCTGTGTGTGCATCCTCACCATGACCCTCGCCGCACACCTGCCCAGTGACCACGGCACCTGGCAGCCCAGTGGCACTCAGAGCACATTTGTTGAGCAAGCAGTGACTGAATGCATCTGGTACTCCCGGCACCCGACTCTCTGTTGGTACAGTTGGCAAATCTCCAAGCTGTGCCTCCCCACAGCCAGGCAGGGTGGAAACCTGAGGGCGTCTCCGGGTTTGGTCCAGGTCATTTGTAGGAAGGGCCGTGTGGTGTCCCTGTGGAGCAGCTGGGCTGCAGAAGTCACCACTGTGCCTTGGCGGCACCGCTTTGGGGCCAGGGACTCCCTGGCAAGGTCACCTGCTGCTGTCCCTGGGCCTCGATCTCCGAGGGAGCTGGGGTCGTGGCTTTCTCCTCGGCCTCATGTGCTGTGGTTCCCCACAGGCTCCGCCAGGAGAAGACGGACACCGTGCGCTGTATCAAGTCCTGCCGCCCCAGCGACTCGGCCTGCGTGCGGGACCCTGTGCACACCGTCTCACACACCGTCGTCTCTCTGCCCACCTTCCGAGAGTTCTCCCACCCTGAAGGTGAGCAGACTGGGGGGGCCCCGAGGGGAGGCTCCTTCTGCTCACGCTGTGGGTTTGGCCTTCAGGAGCCCCCCTTTGCCAGGTCTCCACGTACCCAGGCTGCACTGCGCCGTTCCCCCCCGCCCCCACCCTCAGCTGAGCACAGCGCTCATTCTGTCTGCAGAACTGTTCAGGCCTGATTCTGCGTCAAGCCCGGGGAGTCAGGGTGGCTTTGGGAGGGAGTGACATGCACGCTGGAACTTAAGTAGGGGTGAGCCAGTGAATGGGCAGGAGGGAGGCGGCTGCCAAGCAGTGGAGGTCACAGCTGTCGAGGTCCCGAGGTGAGTGGGCACCGGAGGACCAAACCACATTGCTCTGGCTGGGATGGCAGCCATTTGGCCAAGGGTGGGTTGAGGAGGTTGGCAAGAGCTTGGGCTTGAAGTTGGGGCCCCGCGCACAGCTTTGAGGTGTCCTTGAAAAGTTGCCGCTGATGAGGTTTGCACAGCGAAACTTCATGCTGGGGATCCGGGACTGGAAACGGGTTGCCTGCACTTTCACGGTCAGCGTTCTCATCGCCTGCCTGGCTCTCCAAGGAGCTCCTGGCGCGCTGTGTAGACGTGCTGCCACTACACACTTCCTGGGGCAGGGCTGGAGCTGTGAGCTTCCGGTGCCTAGCAGCGGCTGTTCATGGAGCCCTAGTCAATCATCTCACCTTTGGGGCGTGCAGGGCAGGGTGGACCCTGTGGAGTCCACGCTCTGGCAGGCTGTGGGGACTCAGTGGCAAGAAAGACCCTCTCAGGAAAGGTGTGCAGTTGAACCAACCAGGACAAACCACCCAGGACAGCACCCTGTGCTAACGCTGACAGGGCCACCTGGCAGCAGTAGAGAGGAGAGAGAGGCTCCCAGGGTGCGGCAGCCCCAGCCCTGACTCCGTCCTGCTGGCTGGTTCCTCCAGAGAAGGAAAAGCCCAGGTCTCCCATAGGGCCACCGGCTTGGGTTGGAGGAAATCACTGACTGGTATTTGCCTTGTGCAAAGTGATGGGGTTTCACCAAACCACAGCAAATCCCTCCCAAATCCCTAACGGCAGGTCCTGCGGCCTCTCTGGCCAGGGCTGGTGTGGCAGTTGGTCACTCACAGGAAGTTGGGCACAGACCGAGACGCCTTTTAGCATCTTGGGTCCAGGAAATCCAGACCCAAACCTTTAGCCCTGAAAGGCCAGCCAGGCACCTTCTGCTCTTTGCAGATGAAGAAATAGAGGCCCAGGGGAGTCTCCCCCAAGATGGCCCTGAGCCAGGGTGAAACCTGGGCCCCACAGCTCTCAAAGCAGGATGGATCGGTCTGGGAAATGCCCTGGCCTCAGCTCCCCAAGGCCCACCTGAGGTGTGGCTGTCCCTGCCCACAACTTCATAAATATTCATAACTCATCTCTCATTGCTTCTCAGCACAGGCCCTGCTGCTCCCTGGCTCCATGACCTGAGGGAAGACCCCAAATCTCTCCAGACCTCAGTTTCCCCTGATAAAAGAGGGACAGGCTACACTGTGATGCCCAGGTCCCCTCCTCCTGCACCCCTGAAGTCACAGGGGTCCATGGCTTCAGTGGCATTGCCTTAAGAATGTCATTCCGACCCTTTGTCAGTACCCGCCCCTCCATGGCAGGGGCTCTCTATGGGCTGAGTTCTAGGTGGGCTGGGCCATACCCCACCACTGCATGCCCCACCTCTCCCACAGAAATCATCTTCCTGAGGGCTGTCACACCGCTGTACCCGGCCAGCCAGGCCGACATCATCTTCGACATCACAGAGGGGAACCTCCGGGACTCCTTCGACATCATCAAACGCTACATGGACGGCATGACTGTGGGTGAGTGGCCCCTCTGCCACCGCTGCACCCAGAGCATAGCCAAGGCCTGTAGGCTTGTGCTGAGGAGCCCGAGTCCCCCCAAATCCGGTCCTTCCTGTCCTTCAGGGGCCAGCACTACAGCACCCCCATCTCGGGTGGAGCCTGATGGGGGTCCACCATGGCTATGTCCCTGGCTCTGTGTGGCTTCGGTCTCTCCCCTGTGAGGCCAGTGGGTTAACTCCATCCACGTCACATAGATATGATTTCAAATGCTCACACGAGTGAGCATTTGTTGCAGGGCTCAGAGAATTTTTCTTTTTGTGGTGCAGTGGGGATGGGGAGCAAGGGAGAAGCTCGGAGAACCTGAGCTCTAGTCTCAACCACAGATTTACCGTGACTTGCTGGGTAGCCTTGAGGGGGTCAACATCCCTGTCATTGGTCATAAGAGGACCCAGGCCTGGTTTTTGCTCATAACCGCTCCGAGCGTGGACTCCACTGCTTTTCTCCCTGGAGATTTGGTGTCTCGGGAACACAGAGGCAGCTGGGACAAGGACAGTTAAAGGATACTTCTGTGCAGGGGCACTGGGTGGAGGCCTTGGTTGCAGAGGAAGGAGAAGAGGTGGCCCAGGCACGAGCACCGGCCCGTGTGCATGGGAACGAAGGATGAGGCTGGGGTGAGGAGGAACAGCTGACGGCTGTGACAGGGACCTCCCTGGCTTTCAGTGTGACCTGCACACTTAAGAGGCACTGAGACCGCCGTGCACTGTGCACTGGTTTCTTTCACAGTGCCTAGCCTGAACTGTCACTGTCTAAAGAATTTTTTCCCCTTGGAGAAAGAAAACAGTCACAGCTGTCACTTTGGACTTTGATTTATACTCTGAACACTTCCAAAGCAGTGGAGCAATGGAGGGACAGTCCCTGTTTTTCCCGGGGCCTCAGGGTCCCCTTGGGAATCCTGGATAGGGGCTTACTCATGCCCTGGGCCTTGGGATTCTGCTCAGCCAGAGCAGAACCATTTGGAACATGGCCTCCAGGTGGCGCTGTTGGACCTCCGAACTTCACCCTGACGCCCAAACCTGACGGTTGTTAACAGTGGCAGCTGGAGAAAGGGGATCGTTATTCCCCTGTTGCCAAAGAGCCATTTATAGTGACTTTACAAGCTCTTAAATGGGTTTGCATGTTGTAAACACGGCTGAGTCATTTGGGGGCTCCCTGCCGCCAGCCACCTCCTCCGCTAGTTGGCAGCAGGAATAATTCGTTAATTACAATTAAGGGTGCATCGGCTCTAGCTGGGATCCCAGGCGAGGGCACGCGTTCAGTGCCAGCAGCCATAAAACTTACTGCTTGCCCTTAAGTCAGTACCCACGCTGGGGCTCAGTTTCCCCTATTGTAAAATGAAAGTTTAGAGAGAGGCCTGTTAAGGGGCCCTTTGCCATGCACGAGGACCAAGAGCGTGGGAGAAGGGCTCAGAGAACGTCCTGCCTTACTGGCCTGCAGAAGCCCACCGCGTGCCTGACCTGGGCCTGGCCTGCAGGTGTGGCTGTGACTGGCCGTGACTGGGCCCCGGAATCCTAGGACCTTCCGATTTGCTCCTTTTGGGGCCCCATTAGTACCCACCTGGCTCGGGCAGGCCTTGCACACCCAGAGGTACACAAGCACCGGACAGTTCTGCCTTCAGCCTAGGAGAGAACAGTGACACCATGGCCTCTGTGGCCCTGGGCTCCCTTGGCGCTGGGTCCCTTGCCATTTTTGAACCTTCCATTCCCAGCTAAATCCTCCCCAGCAGGAGACCCAGGCCCATAGAGCCCCAAAGGTGCGAGAGGCAACCACAGGTGCTGTCCCTAGGAGGGGCTTCCTGGGGATGGAATGCTGGTCGCCCTGGCCATGCTCAGTCATGGTGCCCCAGTCTTCAGGATTCTGGGCTGGGGCTGCCGGGGCACCCTGCTGGCCCTCGGGAACTCCGCCTTCCCACAGGTGAGCCAGCCCCTTCCACTCTTCAGGGTATTTATAGGATGTCCCGCACAGTCCCTGTGTCCTCTCCCAGTGGGGCTGGGACCAGACCAGCCAGGTTCTCTGGGGAGGGGACAAGACCGTGTGTTTTTGGCTGTGTTCTCTTCTCTGAACCCATGACTGTGACCTCATTCTCTGCTTGGGATATCAGGTGCCCAGCTGTGTCCCTTCCTGCCTCCTCCCCTCTCTCCTTCCCCCCACGGCCCTGACCCTGTCCACCCAGCCTGGAGGCATCTCTCGGACCCGAGCCCAGAGTGAAGTGGCCCTGGGCACAATGGGCTTGCACCCTTGTGGCTTCCCACTCTTCCTTCTCCCTCACCCCCACATTCCTGGGCATCCTTGCAAAGGCCCCTGGGACAAGGCCTGAGCCTGTGCCTTGGGCATAGGAAGGAACGAAATGAAGTGACTGCAAAGGCAAAACTACAGAGCCGGGGTGTGTTTGTTTCGGGCTTGTCCTGGGCAGCGTGAAGCTCACGTCACACACTGGCTCAGGCTGCAGGGAGGGGGGAAATGTTTCTGGGGTGGTGCAGGCTGCTCTCCACGGCAGCCTGGGAGGCAGCTCTGATCTAAAGGGGCACCTGCTAGGTTGTGGTGCTCACCGAACACCACCTGCTCTGGGCCAGGCATCGGGCAGACGCTGGCACCAGGCTGAAGTTCTTGTTTTGGTCTGTGGCTGTGTTAACGGGCAGAGTTGATCTCAGCTGTTTGTAAGCCAGCTGGAACGTCACCAACTGACATTCGCACGGTGAGCAGAGATTCTCAGAGGGGACACTCATGCCAGCACCGTGGCCAAGCAGCCACAGATGTGTGAGGACCACAGTTAGACCTGGGCCACCTACTCCTGGGCCTCGGTCCCTGTGAAGACCCATCGGCCTCTGGTCTGTACTGGCCGGGGTCTACACCTCCTGCGTTTTGTGCATAGCAGTAAAGACCTCTGCACCCCTAAGGTCAAGAGAGAGGTTCAAAATGCTGCCATGTCTGGGAAGGGGCAGGGTGCTGGACACGGCCCTACCGGGGGCTGCTGCCCGGGTCCCTAGGAGCCTTAAGCCCACACCTTTCCCTAGGTGGTAAATGCTGGGCTGCAATGGAGGAGTTGGTCTGCAGGCTGGGCGGGTCGGTGCTGGCTGGAATTTGACAGGTAGCACCGAGACTCACCCACGCCGTTTTGCACACTCATTTCTGGGTGAGCACTGCCGTCTGATTTAGCCAGCTGTGGGTGTGTGCACGGAAGTGAAATGGGCTTATGGAACATGTAGAGGTGCGTGTAGGGTGGGCAAGTGGGTAAGTGCACAGGGTATCTGATCTCCGAGCTGCTTGGGCAGAGGACGGCCCTGCAGTATCAAGGCCAGACCTCGTATCCCCAGTCCACGGCATTCCCAGGCCCAGGGATGGGACCTGGATTCTGCTGAGTTTGCTCTGGATTTGCCTGATGCCACACTGCCCCCTGAGCATTCCCTCAGAATCCTTTCCCAAGGGACAGGCATTAGGTCCTCACGCAGCCTCTTGGGACGGCCGCCTGGGCTGGCATCACCATTACAGAGGAAAAAATAGAATTGCCTAGCTGGACATGGTGGTGCACACCTGTCATCCCAGTGCTGCGGAGGCTGAGGCAGGAAGATTGCAAGTTCAAACCTAGCCCATGGTCAGTGGAGCCAGAGCCAAGTTCCCACGCTGATCCGCAGTCTGTTCTCTGCCCTTCTCGAGCTCCCTGCAGTGCCTGGGTACAGCTGCTGCAGGGCACCCTGGGAAGCAGGAGGGCTTGGTGCTCAGCTCCAGACACAGAGCATCCGGCGAGGCACTGTAGCAGCTAGGATTGTTGGACTAAAGGATGTAACCCCGGCACTGGGAGGCTGAGGCAGGAGAATTGAAAGTTTGAGCCCAGCCTGGGCAACTTTAATGACTCAGTGAGACCCTGCCTCAAAATAAAAAATAGAAAAGGGCTGGGGATGTAGCTCAGTGCAAAAGTCCTTGGTTTAATCCCCAGTATTGGGGGGAGGGGAAGAGGAGGAGGAGGATGTGGAGGAGAAAAAGGAACAGCAAAAAGAAAAAATGGCCACAGAAACTTCAGGAAGGAGGACTCAACAGCTCACGTGTCCGACACTGCCTGTGCCTGACATGGGGCCTGAACTTGGCCCTGAGTGGACACGCTGGCAGCACCCACACCCTCTTCGAGCTGGTGCATTTTGCATTGTGATTGCTTTACATCCCCAGGAGTGCCCAGGGGCTGTCACCCACGCCGGGGTGATGCCTGGCTGAGCCTCCGCCGCTGGTTGTGTGTTTGGATGCAGGGCCAGAGGCGTCCAGTTGGGAGCTGGAGGCTGGGGGGAGCTCAGAGCCCGCTGGGAAGGGCAGGCTGGTACGACACAGTGACGGGGAGCTGGGCCTGGCGCGGGACGGTGGCGTTCCTGCCCCTGTCCCCGCGCACCTCACGGTGTCTTACTCACTCCGCACGCACACTCGGGGCTCCGTTCCACCTGGGCCCTGCACTGGGTGCCGAGGAACAAAGTGACATCCAAGCTGCAAATCCTGCCTCCGGGAAGCCTCTTCCCAGTTTCCCTAGCATCCTGCCTCTGAGTTCCTGCAACTCACAGTGGTTGTTCTTCAGGGGTTGGCTGCTTCTTCCCCACTGACGTCTCAGAGGAACAGAGGAGTGGTGTGTGGTGTGGACAGTTGAATGTGTTGTATACTGTATAAACCCAAAGGGACTGGCTAGTAGGGTCCGGATCACTTCTTTAAAACCATTCCCTCCTAAGGGGTTAAACAGGCACTGCTGACCTCCTGGAGTCTGATTTGGCAAGCTTGGCCTGGGCTCAGTGCACATTACCAATGACATTCAGAAATTCCACCTAAAAACAACAGCACAGCCATCCCTGCCCAGTGATGAGTGATCAGCCCTGTCCTGGCTTTCACGGCAAATCCCAGGATTAGGCGCCTTCTCTTCCCTGAGAGGCACAGCCCTGTCACCCCAGGCCGCGCCCTGGCCAGCTGCCAAGTCCTCTCCCAAGATGCCC